TCACCTTTCTCCAATCCCAGGTTGACGGACTTAGCAGAGCAGTTTCAGAAGTTCTTAGCCACACAGTCACATACTATGTCAGCCTCCACTCATGTAGGTTTGTCATCACAGAGTCACTCAGATATCTCTTCCTCATGGATCTTTGACTCAGATGCTTCTAAACACATGTTGTCTAACTCAAAATTCTTTAATAACTTGCGTCCTTCTAACTCGCCCATGTCTGTTATGACTGCTGATGGTACGCCATTACCTTTAGCAAGTGTTGGTTCTGTTAATACATATAATTCATCACTTTCAGATGTTTATTGTGTTCCAACTCTTATTTTGAATCTTATCTCTATTGGCGAATTGTGCGATTCTAGATACTTAGTTCAGTTTTTTCTACTGCTTGTCATGTGCAGGATCCTCAATCTCAAAAACTGATTGGGATAGGTCGTAGACAAGAAGGATTATATGTTCTGGACAATCTAAAACCACCACATGTTGCAGCCCTTGGTGTTGATTTGTCATCTTTTTCTTTGAATTCTTTATCTTCTAGTTTTTATTTGTGGCATTCTCGCCTTGAACATGTTTCTGCTAATTGTTTGGAAATTTTAGTTTCTTAGGGTCAATTGGAAAATATACAAACTCATGACATTTCTGAATGTAGTGGTTGCAAATTAGCAAAATTTTCTGCTTTATCTTTTCCTCAAAGTATTTCTCATTCTATCGCACCATTTGATCTTATTCATTCTGATGTGTGGGGACCTGCTCCTATTGCTACAAAAGGAGGGTCTCAATATTATGTGTCTTTTATTGATAATTATAGTCGTTATTGTTGGGTTTATCTTATGAAACAACTATCTGACTTTCTGTCTATTTATCGATCATTTAGTGCACTTATTAAAACTCAACATTTCACAGTAATTAAATGCTTTAGATGTGACTTTGGTGAAGAGTACACTTCAACCGATTTCTCTAAATTGCTTGCTCTTGACGGCATAATTCGTCAAACCTCATGTACTAATACTCCACAACAAAATGGTGTTGTCGAATGAAAACATAGGCACATTGTAGAAACTGTTCGTTCACTTCTTTTGTCAGCCAAAGTTCCCAGTAAATTTTGGGGAGAAGCAGCTCTTACTGCTGTTTCTTTAATTAGTAAGATTTCATCTTCCCACAATTCAGGTTTATCACCCTTTGAAATATTGTATGGGTATCCTCCGGACTACTCCTCATTGAGAGTCTTTGGTTGTACTTGTTTTGTTCTTCGTCCTGAAGTTGAACGTAGTAAGTTGACATCTTGCTCTGCTATCTGTGTTTTCTTAGGTTATAGGCAAGGGCAAAAGTGTTATAGTTGTTTTGATCCCATAACTAATAAATTATATATTTCTCGTCATGTCGTGTTTCTTGAGCACACTCCGTTCTTCTCTATTTCCTATAATACTCATGACGTGACTAGAACTGACCTCATTCATATTGATCCATTCTCTGATGATATAAACAATCCACCTTCCCATACCCCATATTCTGTTGATTCTTCGTGGCCTACAGGTACACATACTCCAGGTCATGATACCCCTCATCCTTTATCTCTTCCTCGATATTCTCAACGTATTCGTAAGTCCACTTAGTTACCTAATTTTGTTTATTCTTGTTATTCTAAGTCCCTTTGTTGCTTTCTAACCTCCATTCATAAGTTATCTGAACCATCTTCCTATAAAGAAGCTATTTTAGATCCTCATTGGCAACATGCTATGACTGATGAACTCTATGCTTTGCATAAGACAAACACTTGGGATTTGGTTGCACTGCCTTCCGGTAAACATGTTATTGGTTGTCGTTGGGTTTATAAGATTAAAACTAAATCTGATGGTTCAATTGAACGCTATAAGGCTATATTGGTTGCGAAAGGTTTTAATCAATAGTATGGTTTGGATTATGAGGAGACTTTTGCTCCTGTTGCCAAGATGACCACTATTCGTACACTTATTGCAGTTGCATCTGTTCGTCAGTGAAGTCTTTCTCAATTGAACGTTAAAAATGCCTTTTTAAATGGAAATCTTCAAGAGGAGGTTTACATGGTCCCTTCTCCTGGTCTCTCTCACTTTCCTGGATTTGTGTTGCAAGCTCAATAAAGCACTTTATGGCCTCAAACAAGCACCTCGTGCCTAATTTGAGAAATTTTCCACCGTTATTACGTTTCTTGGTTTTACATCCACTCATCATGACTCCGCTCTATTCTTTAGATACACTTCGGCTGGTCGCATTCTATTATTGTTATATGTTGATGATATGATTATTACTGGTGATGATGTTGATGAAATTGCAGGTTTAAAATCAAAATTAGCTTGTCGTTTTGAAATGGAGGACTTGGGTCCACTATCTTATTTTTGGGGATTGAAGTTGCTTCTCCTCCT